GATATTTGAGTGTTTATAAATTATAACTATGATTTCAGATTTTATTATTTTTATTATGAACTAATTTATTTTATTATGGTTACGATGTAGCCTAATCAATTCAATATAGATTATGTGATTTTATGCTTTCAATTAAAGTTGTTCACATGAGGAGTTTATATTATTGAACTTAATACATTAGAAACCTGATCATCTTTCAATTGATTTAGTGATTTATATATGAACTTGAGAAAGAATTGCGTAAATTAGATTAATAATAATATAAACCGTGTGTTAAACTATGAGACCGAGAGGTAATTAGCTCACATGTGGTAGTGGAGGAAGAGAAGAGAGTTAGGAGCTCCTCCTTTTTAAACTAGAGGTTTTCATGGAATTTAATACTCATTAGTTTGTTTAAAATTACGTAGAGATATGATTAATTTAACAAACAAGTGAAGGATTAACTTGACTTGAGAAAGTTGGTTAATTAATTTAGGGAAATCCGTTATCACATGCAGTACCACTCAATAATTTAGTAATCTAGAATTTATATTGATTGATTATGGTGAAGTCAATACCTTAGTATCTCATATCTTGGTTAGTTTTATTTTAATTGTTAGTTTCTTTTTGTTATTTTAATTAAAATTTCCTCTTTCTGATTGTTCAAATAAATTTAGATTAATTTTTTTGGTATTTAATTAGACACAATCCTCGTGGGTTCGACACTCTATTCATCGTTATATTACTTGGACTAACTAGTACACTTGCTATGGTGATTTTAGTGCATCAAGTTTTTGGCGCCATTGTCGGGGATTGTTGATTTAATTAATATCAAAGTTGGTTAATTCTAGATTTAATTTGAACGTTTTCTTTTCTTTTATTTCTTTACTTTGATTTTTTTTTTTGTTTATTTTGTTTTTGTTTTTGTAGATCTAACTATAGATCGAGTTGCCCTAAACACTGATCTAAATTATCAATGGCTTGCATCGAAGATAAGGGCACAAGTTGGAGCAATAACTATAAATTGGGATGCAGAAATTGATGATGATGAACTTGAACAATTTTAAGCAGCCATCCAAAGGCAGAAATTAAAGAAGGCTCTAATAGAACGATTAAATATCACTTGTGAATGGTGTGGATTGGACCATTTTAGTTCTGATTGCTTATATCACTACTGTAGGAATGGGATATCCGGACCGAAATATCGGTCTGAATATATTACCAATCGGTTTGAATATATATATACGGACCGATATTGGTCCTTATAGTTAATCTGAAAAAACCTGGTACGAATAAGTATAATATACAGACCGACGTATAATCGGTCCGTATATATATACTATCCGGACCGAAATCGGTCCGTATATTTCAGTAAGAAATATAAATAATTATTGAGAAATTGAAATAAGTGGACCGAAATTGGTCCCAAAAAATTATATAATAAAATAATAAAATATATACGAATCGACAACGGTCTGTAACTGTGGTGGAAAGAGGCATCGCAAATATATACGGACCGGGATCGGTCCGAATATTGAGGACCCAGCTGCAACTTTTAAAACTT